GTCAGTGAGGTGCAGATGTCCCCTGTTGATCACTCTTCATCAAAATCAAGGCATTCCAAGAGCTCTTCAGTCTTGCCTAAAATACCAGTTAGGAGCAGGGCTGAGCTTGCCTGTTGTGCAGCTCAGGGGTCAAGTGTAGCCTAAAGGTCTCGAGGGGGACTGGGAGGAACAGAGAAATGTCACCAGCAGTCCTGAAACAGAAGCCATCTCTGACATGATAAGCTGAACAAGAGGATTTGGCTGACTGTGTTTTCCTCTTGGCTAGATCTTTAACATTTTAATTTGCAAGTGAATGTGGTATTTATTCATGGCAGCTGTTGCTGAAGCAGCCCAGGTACAGACTGTTTCGGGGCAGAGCTCTCTGGGCAAGAGGCTTTCCTGCCAGCTGAGTTGCAGAGCAGTGAGAGGTCTTTTAGCAACAGATTGATGGCAGAGGAAGACCCTGTGTGCTGTTGTGGAGAACATCTAGAAGAGAAGGGGATGCTCTGTCCATTGCTACACCCAGCATTTCCCTCCCAAGGGGACTTCAAATGTCATCTCATGGTATAAACTTGTCAGGACCTGTAGGAGTCCGTGAGCTGTGAGTTAAAGGTGTCTGTTACTCAGCCAGCAAATGGATCTGGACAAGAAACCCGTCTTCCTCCTGCCCTCCCTGTGAATATTCAGGAGTGGGCCCCCTGAAATGGGGAGTGGCTTTTGCGGGGAGCAAGGGGAGTGAAAGAGAAGTCCCTCCTGCATCCAACAGGGTTTTCCTGTTACAGCACTCCTGCTGATTGCTCCTGTTGGGTTTGGAGCCTTGATGTGCTGTTCAAGAAATACAGCCTTGTTTTTCAAATGTGTCTTTCCAGGTGGCAGCTGGCCCAGTAAAGCTGCCATAGTGTTGTAACTGAAGAATACTGTGGTGTCCTGGAAAGAGTCTGCTCTGTTTCTCCCACATGTGTTTGGGAGGAACCAAGGACACATCAGTCCTCAAAAAGGGGGGAAAAAAACCCTTTGGGGCTGGAAATTCATGCTATTTCTCTGGTCTCAACTGCTTGTGCTCCCTGACTCTTCCTTGCTCTGAAAACTGCACTTCTGTCCTCCCTGGTGGGATTTGCCACTCATCACCCAGCTGCTGTGGGGGATGAGCCCTGAGATTCTGGAGCTGTGATGAAGTGCAAGGTTGATGCTGCCTGTCAAATGGTCCTGAGGGTGGATTCAATGCTCAGGGGCAGCAGAGCCACCCCTGAGAGCTGGGCGTCTGCAGACTGGCAGAAACCAACCTTTGGGCAACCCTCCAGCAAAGGGTGGATCCAGTTCCTGGGCTGTCTCAGGCCTCATCCTTTCCATGGCTTGAAGGTCTTGCAAACACCTGGACTGTGTGCCAGCACTCCATCAAGGTTTAAACAGCAGGTGCCCCCAGGCTGATGTAAGTTGTCTATACCTCTCTAAGTAGCTCTGTTTGCTTCATTATCCTCTGTACCCGGGGCAAGACATGCTTCAGTCTTCCTCTTCTGGTCCCATGTACATCCTCCAGACTGAGGATGCTCTCTCTGTCTTTCTGCTGTCATCCTGGCAGGACTGGTGTCCTAAGCACAAGCACTCAGGTGTAGGGATCCTGAGCATTTTTTTTTTTTTTAACACTTTCATCAAATAACATTGATGTGGGAGTTGAATTACAGCTTCCCAAAAGTGCCTGGTTGGATCCTTGCAAAGAAAAGCCCTGCAGAACAAAGCAGGGTGCGTGGAGAGGCAGGTAAGGAGGGTGAGTCTTGGCAACATCATGTCTAGGACTGCTCTACCATTGGCCAAGGCTTCCAGCACAGCAATATGTGCTATCAGACAGACCTGCAGCTTGGCTCCTGCTGGGCAAAGTGTGCTGGGTTAGAGCCTCCAGGCTGTTCCCCACTCCTTGCAACACATGGGGATCCCTTGTCTCGGCTTCTTGCAGGGTCTGGAGCCAGGGCAGAGATGCTGCTGCTTCCACAATGTGCCAAAGGACTGCCAAGCCCAGGCAGGTGTCTGGAGTCCTGTGTTTTTTGCCATAAGCATAAATCTCAGTGGGAGGTTGATGTGCCCAGATGTCAGATGTGTGAAACCTTGCATGTGGTTGTGCTTGAAAGCTGGCTCATGACTCCATAGCCATGGTCCACAACCTGCTTTCCTTTCCTCCTTGTGACAGTGTGGTCAGGGCTTTCCTGTGAGAGCACTGGCACCTCCTGAGCCTTTCACCCCTCCTGTCTCCATCTGCTTCATCCCCTCCCCTCTAACAGGAAGCAGGGTAGGGAGCCAGCAGCATTCCTCACCCTGCTCCCTGCTGTGCCCTGTCCTTTGGGCTTGCCCAAAGGGAGGGTGCCCCCAGGTCCAGCCTGTGACCATCTGGCTGAACCAGAAGGGGAACATTCAGAGCGTTTCTGTTCACCTGTAGCCAGCAGAGAGCTGCCAAGGAGGCCACACTGAAACCCGAAGCGGCTGTTTTTCCCGAAACTCAGCACTTGGCAGGGAGAGCAGACGGACAAGTGGTGGAGCAGGGAGGGATGCAAGTGCCCTGGGGAGCAGCACTGCTGGGGGAGGTGCCCAGAGGAGGTGCCCAGGGAAGGTGTGTGCTGGCTTACCTGTTTGGGGATCCATCTCCATGTCCTCCTTGGCCGAGATCGTGAGGAGAGTCAAGAGGACACCGGGGTCATTGGTAACCTTCTGTCCTTACATGTGGCTCTTCCCTTGCTCACCCTCTTTGTGCCATGTCCTGAGCATCTCCTTCAGCAGTGAAAAGCCATGACTGGTTTTCCCCATGCGTTGCTCAGAAAGGTCAGGAGATGGGCCAGGCGTCCCTCTCGGCTCCGCTGCTACGGAGTTTGGCTGAGCCAGCCCAGCCAGCAGCGCTCTCCCTGCCTGGACCTTTTTTCCTTTATAGCTCAGCGTTATCTCAAGGTCTCTGCTGTTGCAGCCGCCCCGTGTTTGCCTTCCCTCGCAGCACCTGCCTGCCAGCCGCTCGCTTCCCACCCCTCTCCCTCCCACTCCTGCACGGCAGCAGGGGCTTGGAGGGGGTGATGTGGGCACCCTCAGGGTGTGGGGAGCCCCTCCGTGGGGCTTCAGTGCTGCCAGCCCCAGGGGAGTGAGCAGGGATGTTGCCCCGTGTGGGATGGCGGGAGAGATACTGGGGGACATCTGTCCCATCTCCTTTGCTTCCCAGCCTTCATCAGCCTTGCTGCTGCTGAGGCAGGGCTGGGTGTTCTATTGAATCAGCCCAGGACACTGTCCCAGCCTCGTCTCTGCTGCCAGGACAGAGCTGGATGGATGGCTGAGCTGCCATGCCCTGGCCTGTCCAGGCAGCATCAGCCCTTCCACCCGTGGGGAGCGCCAGGACTTCATCCCGAGCTGAGATGTTGTTAAAAATAGATCAGTCGTGAACTGGTTTTCTCCTTCTTGGTTCCTGGCCCAACAGCTCATTCCTCTCTCTGGGCTGGCTCTGAAGCTGTGTGGATGCTGTGAGACACAGGCTCCCCACCAGCCTGCCACTGCAGGGAGGTGTGGAGAGCAGAGAGCTGGAAGAATGTAAGAGGTGGTGTAGCTGTCCCAAAAATATTTAGTGGTTAGTGAGTGCTTTCTCCCAGGAAAGAAGACTTGGAAAAAGAATCCGCTAAATAAGTAGGGAAATGAAGCTGGGATAGCAGGGGCTGTTTGCCTCTCTGCTTGCTTGTGGTGCTCTTGTGAGGGGACAAAGGCACCTGAGCACTGCAGGCCACAAGCAATGCTCACCTCGGCCCCATGGCTTCCTAGAAAACACCTGCAGGCTGCCACCCCCACTTGTCCCCTCACCCCAGAGCAGTCCCACTGGCCTTCTGTGTGGCTCTGATAGCACTGCAGAGTCACTGCCCCCTGGGCTGGTGGTCTGCTCACCTCCAGGGACAGGCCCTTTGAGACTGATATTCCAGTTTCTTCTCGTAGCCCTTTTCTGTCCTTCTCCTCATTCTTCGGTGCAGTTTTCCAGGTGTGAACGCTGAGTCTGGAGACACTTTTAAGATGCAGCTGTGAAACCTATTATCAGTGTCCCTGCTGTCAAAGACATGCTGTTCAGGGCTGCACGTAACCACTGAGCAATTAAACAGCAGCCCTGGTGATGAATTGCAACTGAGACCTCCTGGGGCTAAATAAATATCGGCTGATAACTACCGATAAAATGAATTTCTGTGTGCTGCTTTTTTTTAAAAAAAAAAAAAAAGCAGCCTTCCAGTATCTGTGCCCAGTCCTGGCACTGCATGTCTCCTGGGGAAAGTTGCATTATCTGTGGCATTTCCATCACCAACACCTTGGGTTTCCAACCAGAGCTGGAATAAAAATAAACAAGATAAATCCATGTCCCTGCAGGTGCCAGGAGAGGGAGGGAAAGGCGAGGCAGGGCAACACAGAGGCAGGGGCAGGGAGGGAGAGAAGTGACAAGCTGAGGTTTTGGGTAACCAGTTTAAATTTATGGAACTTCTTGGGAAAATGATATTTACCAGTAACTTTGAGAAACTTCTGAGCAGGTTTTGTCGGTGCTGGCGTTTCATCTGAGAGCTTCTGTTCCCGTGCAGGAGTGTCAGGAGTGCTGGTGCTCTGCATCCCTGGGTGCAGCTTTCCCACTCTCCACTGGCTGTGGAGAGCAGCCACACAGTCGGGGAAAAAGCATTTGGATGAACATTCCATCTGCCTGGTTTGCAAGTGAAAATAAGGCTTGTCCGATGACCAGCTCCACCCAGAGCAGAAAATGAGAGCCTTTGGCAGAGCGGTGCTGCTGCAATGACACTGAGCTGTGCTGAGACTGCCAGGCCTTAAATGGGAAAGATCCCACGTGGGTTCAGAGAAGTTTGGGGATGGATCTGTCAAAACTGCTGCTTAGGGTTTTTGGCACCACCTGGGGACACCCACTGCAGGTGGATGTCACCCTGTGGCCCAGCCCACCCTCTGCACTGATTGCACATTGTCTTCTCCCTGCAGCGCATCCTTCCAGCCCTGGAACTGTGTGGACTTGCAGAGCCATGATGAAGCTCCTGCCTGTCACCCCTCTCCTCCTGCTTCTCCTGACGACACTGGAAGCCAGACCAAAACCTGCAGGTGAGCCCCAGATGATGGGGAGCAGAGAGAACCGAGAACATCAGGGCAGTGGAGCCCTGGGATGACAGCTTGCTGCGTGAGGTGGGGTCATGACACCTCTTCTTTAGAGGCATCCCCAGGAGGATGGAGATTCCCCCCAAATGAGAGGCCCAAACTTGCCAGCCCTGCTCTGGAGGGTGGGAGCCTGAGCCTGGCCCCAGCATGGTGGGTCTGGTGCCACTTGCTCTGGGCATATCCCCAGCTTTGGCACAGCCCAGCTCAGGGCTTGTGGCCCTCCTCCTGATGGGCTGTGACCTTGGCATGACGTGCAGGCATGAGGGGGAACCCCCTCCTTGCATAAGTCTCCAGGGTGAGGGGGGACAAAGCAAACCCAGGGATAGCAGCCTCTCTCCTTTCAGGGCAGAGGGATCTATATGAATTTCAGTTTAAAACCAGTGAGGATACCAAATGGAGAAAGGAATGGGTATGTCTCAGAGACCTTCGGAGCAGTTGAGATGACAGCTGAGGTCTGGGCATCATCCCAGGGGACTCAAAGTGTTTGCTTACCATTAGGGCCAAGTTCTCCCAGGCTTGGGTGCACACTAGCCAAGCAAAATATGTTCATTGGCATTTCACTTGCTAAACAATCTCCCAATTTTCACTGGAAGTAGCATCCTTGTGTCCAAGAGAGGATCCTTGGCTCAATCCCCACTGTGTGCATGCTCTTAGCTTTGCTTTTTTCTGCCTCATTTTCTGCCCTGAAAAAAAATACCCAACCACAACAACCCCCAGCCAGGCATGTCTCCCCAGCCTGTTGGCCCTGCTCTTGCTCTACCAGCATCTTCCATGACTTTCCTGGGCAGTGGGGAGGTGCTGGTTTGTGGGGGCTACCCAGACCTGCTCTTTCCATCCCTGACTGAGCACCCCTGCAACTACCCAGCAAGGGTGTCTCTGCTCCCAGACCTGCTCCCTGCAGGCAGCCACAAGGCTGAACCATCTCTTTACCCCCCTCCAGCCCTGAGGTGCAGGACGGGCCCCCTGGACATCGTGTTTGTGATCGACAGCTCCCGCAGCGTGCGCCCCTTCGAGTTCGAGACCATGCGGCGCTTCATGATCGACATCATCGGCAACCTGGACGTGGGCCCCAACGCCACGCGGGTGGGGGTGATCCAGTACTCCAGCCAGGTGCAGAACATCTTCTCCCTCAAGACCTTCTTCACGCGGGCGGACATGGAGAGGGCCATCAACAGCATCGTCCCGCTGGCCCAGGGCACCATGACGGGGCTGGCCATCCAGTACGTCATGAACGTGGCCTTCACCGCGCAGGAGGGCGCGCGGCCCCCGCACAAGAAGATCCCCCGCATCGCCATCATCGTGACGGACGGGCGGCCCCAGGACCGGGTCACCGAGGTGGCCACCCAGGCCCGGAACGCCGGCATCGAGATCTACGCCGTGGGCATCCAGCGGGCAGACATGAACTCGCTGCGGGCCATGGCCTCGCCGCCGCTGGAGGAGCACGTCTTCCTGGTGGAGTCCTTTGAGCTCATCCAGCAGTTTGGGAAGCAGTTCCAGGACAAGCTCTGCGGTGAGTAAGATCTGCCGCTGCAGAGTAGTGAGGGTGGCCCTGGTGTCTGCTCCTCCCTGGGGATAGAAGATGACCTTCAGAGGGGTGTTTGGGGAGGCTGCCCATGCTAGGAGCAGTGTGGATGGGGAGGCAATCTCCCCAGTGAGGTGCTGGGACAGGGCAGCGCACAGTGTCCGTGTCTGTACACTGGAAATCAGTGGCTGAGCACTGGGGCTGGCAGGGCTGGGGCTGTGTGGGTTGTCCCAGTGGCTTCTGCTGCAGGGACAGGGCATATTCCAGAGCTGGGATCCCTTGCATCCAGTGTGCCCGTGGGCCACTCTGATGCTCGTTCTGTCTTGCAGGGGTGGACATGTGTGTGGAGCAGGAGCACGGCTGCCAGCACAGCTGTGTCAGCACCCCTGGCTCCTTCTACTGCGAGTGCAACCCTGGCTACAGGCTCAACGTGGATGGAAAGACCTGTTCCCGTAAAAACTCTTTTTATTATCCCAACTCTCATAGGGAGCTTGTGGTTATGGGTCCCATGGAGGGAAGCTGGGACACAGCAGAGGACCCAGCAAGGCCAGCAGCAGCCTGGAGATCTGTTCACTGGGCCCTCTGCTTCCTGGGTCTGTAATGACTGTGGACATTCAGTGTTGCCAAATCCTGGCCACCCCTCTGGGATGGGACACTTGGGGCTCATGTGGCCTGTCATCTGAGGGGGTTCTGGGCAGTGTGGATCAGAGGATGCACATCCCAGCACTGATGAGCACAGTGTTTTCCCCCTGTATTTTAGTGCAAAGCTGTGTCAGTCAGCCTGGTCACCACACCAGGACTTTCCCTGCTTGTCTCACGGTGCTGGGAGCTGCTTTGAAGTTCTGGAGCGGCCCCAGGGAGGCTGGGACAGGAGGGTGATGGGTGTCCTGTTCCCCTGCAGCCATTGATGCCTGTGCAGATGGGAGACACGGCTGTCAGCACCACTGTGTCAGTGCTCGGGGATCATACACGTGCCGCTGCCGACCAGGTTACTACCTCGGCCAGAACAAGAGGAGCTGCATCAGTAAGTGATGGTCTCCCTCCCTGTCCCTTCTTCCTTTGCTCCTCGTTCTCCCTCTCCTCTTGTCTTTCCCTCACTGCTATGGCTTCTTCTTCTCCCACCAGTGATGGATTACTGCAGCTTTGGAAACCACAGCTGCCAGCACGAGTGTGTGAGCATTCCCAACGGGCACTACTGCCGCTGCCGCAGCGGGTACACGCTCCAGCCCGATGGCAGGTCCTGCAGGGGTAGGTGCCAGCGTGGCAGATTCCTCTGTGTCCTGGCCTGTCCCCAGGGGAAGGGCTGTTCCCAGACCAGCCCATCTGAATGGGGATCACCCCATGCCCTTGGCTTGTCTTCCAGCCACCGACCTCTGCAATGGAGTGGATCACGGCTGTGAGTTCAAGTGTGTGAGCACGGAGGGCTCCTACCACTGCATGTGCCCTGAGGGCCAGCAGCTCCAGGCTGATGGGAAGACATGCAGCAGTGAGTACTGGGACATGGCTCTTGGCATTCTCCTTGTCTGGGCTCTCCTGGGGAGGGATCACCTGAAACTGGGCTGGGGGACTCTAAGCGGGACTTTGAGCCAGGTTGGAAGAGGATGGAGAGCTGGCAGTGCTTGGGGGAGCATGCTGGCTGCTGCAGGGATGAATGGTTGTGTTCTCAGAAACATGGGCCAGAAGTTGCAACAGCTTTGAGGAAAGGTTCAGGAAAAGAGAGACCTAAGAAAGACTTTCACAGGGTGTTGGGGTGTCGGTTTTTGGGCCGAGTCCTCTGGGTATGCTTTGCCCCACTTCCCAGCTGCAGTTCCAGGGGCTCTCCAGAATGTCCTGAAGCCCAGAAGCTCTGCCCCAGCCCCGGGCACCTTCACTCTGACAGTGCCCACGGTCAGGCTGGTCCAATCTCATCTCCCCTGTGCCTGCAGAGTGTGGAGCTGGGCACGTCGACCTGGTGATGGTGATCGATGGCTCCAAGAGCGTCCGTCCGCAGAACTTTGAGCTGGTGAAGCAGTTTGTGAACCGCATCGTGGACCTGCTGGACGTGTCCCCCCACGGCACACGGGTGGGACTGGTGCAGTACTCCAGCCGCGTTCGCACCGAGTTCCCCCTCAACAAGTACCACAGCGCGGATGAGATCAAGAAGGCGGTGATGGATGTGGAGTACATGGAGAAAGGCACCATGACAGGCCTTGCCCTCAAACACATGGTGGAGCACAGCTTCTCCGAGCTGGAAGGTGCCAGGCCTCTCTCCCACAACATCCCCAGGATCGGGCTCGTCTTCACCGATGGACGCTCCCAGGACGACATCTCTGAATGGGCCAGGAGAGCAAAGGAGTCAGGTGTGGGGGTCTGGGGAACCCCAGGTCGCAGTGCTTTGGGCATTCTGGGATGGTTCCTCGGGGTGGCTGTCTTGGGGAGAGGCTGCAGCATTCCAGCCTTGGGGGGCTGCATCTCCTGGGCTGGCAGGGGCAGACCATTGTGTTGTGGTTGCAGGATACTCTGAGCAGCATCCTTCATGCAGCAGCCTGCACCACCACAGTGCTGCCTTGCTCCTGGCCCTCCTTCCTGAATTCCTGCTCTGTGTTTGGGAAGCCCAGAGAAAATCCTGCATTCTCGGCTTTGCTCCCTCTGGGCTCGGGGCTGCTTGATGTGGGATGCTCAGGATCCGTCCTTGCCACGCAGGGATCGTCATGTTTGCTGTGGGTGTCGGAAAGGCCGTGGAAGAGGAGCTGAGAGCCATCGCCTCCGAGCCGGTGGAGCAGCACTTCTCCTACTCAGCAGACTTCACCACCATGACCCACCTTGTGGAGAACTTCTCACTGAACATCTGCCCAGGTGGGTGCTCCTGGGCACACCAGGGGACTCGGCCCCAAGCCGGGGGGGGTCCTCTTGTCCCCACAGAGCCAGTTGGGGTGGTTTGTGTGTCTGTCGCTGTCCAGTCCTGGTGGGGGGCTGTAGGGACAAGGGAGCTGTACAGAACAAGGCAGAGCCGTGGGGGCACTGTGGGGCTGTGGCTCTGACTGCAGCCAAATCCCCCCATCCCAGAGGAAGGCAAAGGGCACACAGAGATCCGCAGCCCGTGCGAGTGCGAGGCACTGGTGCAGTTCCAGACGAACACTGTGGCCATCCTGCAGAGCCTGACAGAGAAAAATATCCTTTATGGTGAAGCCTGGGCTGGTTTGGGTGCAGGGAACTGGGGACAGAGCCCACCCGGGGAAGGGAGGGAGAGTTAACAGGGCTGGGCAGAATTTTAGGCTTCTTCAAGGGGAAAAAGCTCTTTGCCCCCCACCCCGTCTGGCTCACGCTGTTTCCTTAGCACATTCACTTGCTCAGATGACAGCCAGACTTGAAGAGTTGGAAAAGCAGATTGCCAACAAGAAGTGATCCTGGCAGAGGGCTGCAGCCCTGGGATGGGGCACAGGGATGTACAGTAGCTACATGGCATTGTTATTGCTAGGTAATGGTAAAGCATCAGTGTTTGTTCTTATATCTCAAAATCCACGGGGCGATGTGGATTGTATTTAAAAAAAAAATACTGAGAACACCAGGAAGGACCTTGATCAAAACCTCTGCTGTGAAGCCAAGGGGTTTCACCCGTCACTGTTGCCTCCCAGCTGGAAGGTCTGGCATGAGGGGAGATGACTGTGTGGCCAGGCAGGTCTTTGGGCAGATGTGACACCCGGCCTTTCCAAGGAGCAACCAGGATGACCCAGCCCTGCACAGCCCCCCCAGAGCCTGGCAAGCTGCTTTGCAAGAGGAAAAACCTACAATGGTGTCACCCTGAGAGTTTCTCTTGTCTCAGTGTCTGCTGCCAAGGGGTGGGGCAAGAAGAGACGGGTGGCACAGGCAGGGCCAGCAATGCCTGTCCCGCTCCTGCCATGGTGCCCAGGTGGGCTCCCATGGGAAAGTGGGTGGCAGGAATTGTCAGATCCCCTTGCCCTGGTTGGGCAGAATTGTTTGGGAACTGGTATTATCTTGTCTGGTTTTATAATCACATAGCAAAATGGTCATTATTCTACCAATATGTATGTGTGTGTATATATCTATGTATATTTAATTTTGAGAGCAGAGCAGTGCTATTTTGAAACTCATCTTTTCTATAAAGGAATTTCTCTCCTGACAATAAACCCCCTGAAGATTTGTATGCCCCGTGCCTCTCCTTTCAGCAGGGCGTCAGAGTCCCAGAGATATCTCTGCATCAGGATGGGGGTCTCTGGCTTTTGCAAGGTCTGCTGTGCTCAGGCTCCACCAATCCTTTGGGGAAATCTTTGCTGGGTGAGCAAGCCAGGGGCACGGCTTGAACTGAAGGAGGGCGATTTAGGGTCGATCTGAGGGAGATGTTTTCTTCCAGTCAGGCTGGAGGGGACTGAGGGGGCTCCATCCCTGGGAACGTTGAAGGGCCGGTTGGACGGAGCCCTCAGCAACCTGGGGTGGTGGGAGGTTGCTCAGGTTGGAAGGAGATGATTTTTAGGGTCCCTTCCAAGACAAACCGTTCAAGGATTCCATCATTCTCTGGTCCCCATCCCCACAGCTCCTGTGCCATCCCAGCTGCCAGAGCTGTGCCCGTGTTCCCTGTGGAATGGCCAGCACCCAGCAGCGAGCACAGCGCAGCCATTCCCCTGCTGCCATCACACCTTTGTGCAGCTCCCAGTGCAGCCTCTGCGCTGACCAACCCTGGCTGTGCTCTGAGACAGCCCTTCCCCC